CCAAGTCAGGGGTCATCACTTTACTCTGTTTGAAGGTAACGGTTATGGCTGTGACAGTGCTCCAGTGCCTAGTGTCTCTCTTTTTTCCCTTTTACTGGTCTTCCTCTCTGTGTTTCTCTCTGTGTTTGTATTTGTCTGGGAGTCTGTTGACATGGCAATCCCTTTTTCACTCTCATAGTTCCTAGCTCAGCAGCATCAACACACCTTGGCTCCAGTCGAGTTGTCAAAAAAATCTTTCAAACCTTTTATTTTTAATTAATTAATAAATTTTTACGAAAAACATCGGGAGTAGAGTCATGGCTATACTAACCTTGGTGAGATGTCACAACCCTGCCGCATGAAAGCACCCAAAGAGAACCAAAGGGAGTTAAAGATTCCAAACTCATTGGTGGATTCAGTTGTTAGAGGCAAAGCTCCATCCTCTGGCTCCTCTAGCGTCCACTCATAGGGGCTGAATCTGGATACCTAGAATATAATATGATCATTGCTTACATTTTCCTGTTGTACTGTACCTAAACAAAACAAGTAAACAATGCACACAAACAAGTTTTTCTATTGACAAGAGCAAAAGTTAAATGTTCAGGCATGAAAGGTTGCAGATGCTTGCGGATGACCAGCTTTAGGCGCAATGTTCAAGGTTAAACGTTATGAAAGTACCTTGGATTTTCCTGATGTGGTAGACAAAACATTATTCTGAACCTTATTTTTAAAAAATACCCAAACAGATGCAACAAAAATATTGTAAATATTTAAATAGTTAAATTTATACAAATACAACCATATGAATTCAAGTTTCTGTCTTTCACTAAGATGTACCTAATTGAAAATACACTTCATTCAAGCTCAGACACACAATAAAACTCACCAAAACNNNAAAAAAAAAAATCACCAAATCTGGCTTGTTTAAAGAAAATCCTTAAATCCCTGAGTTAGATGTCAAAATATTTCAACTTTACAGCAGTTTGCTGTTTTCCATTTGCCTTCTCTCTGCCTGCTGTCCTCTTGGTGCTACAAGGTTTAGCTAGCTGAACAGTTACTGGTCTATGCTGTCTTGATCCACAGCAGGTAATGGCTTCAGGTCCCTGTCGGAAAAGACTGTCTGACAACAATGCTTAAACGTGTCACCGGCTGTTAATATACTGGCCAAGTAAATCTATATGTGGCAAAGACTTAGATAGATAGATAGATAGATAGATAGATAGATAGATAGATAGACGTGTTCAGGGTGGCACTG